AATTACTAAAAGAAAACGATTTTTATTTAACTCATTCTAGGGGAAAGGACCAAGAAGATCTATGCCTAAAATTTCATTCGGAAATGTAGCGCGAATGCTATTTAAGTACCCGGCCGGGCTGTAATTAATATCATTTATTAACTGACATTGATTGCAGGACCTGACATACACAGTTATTTTTTTGTATAATTGCGAGAAATATACCGCCTCACGTACCCTTTTTAAAGTCTTTCTGACCCCTAAATGACCCGCTGTTTTCGCGTCGTGTAATTCCTTCAAAATTAATCTACAAGATACATGACTTCAAAATGCTTAATCGAAGCAAGGCTGGGATAACTGGTTTGATGCTCGAAATTTTCGTTTGTTGTTTCGTATAAAACAATAAATTATCTATTATTTCATAGTTTTCTGCTCTATTTCTTATTGCATCGATATCTGTGTGTTCAAAGACTTTCGGGGTCTTTCAAATACGCATAGATACTTCCAAATTCAGGATCAGCTTTCAATTCAGCAATAATTGTTTCTCTAGAATCCTAAAATTTTTCAAAAATTTTAGATTCTAGAGAAACAAATAGTCAACACAGCGCATTTGAGTTCATTGCCTTCATTCGTCCAGTTTTATACGAGAAAGTGCGTCAGCTACATTGTTTTCCTTACCCGGTTTATATTTAATTATGAGATTATATTCTTGGAGTTTTAAAGCCCATCTTATTAACCTGGGCATTAGGTTTTTCCCCGAGTAAAGTTTACCAACAGCCGCATGATTCGAAAAGACTGTTACTGGCGCTTTGTCAAAGTAAACTCGAAATTTGTGTACAGCGATTAATACGGCTAATGTTTCTCTCTCTGTAGCTGTATAATTCCTTTGTGTAGGGTTCAACGTTTTATTAAAAAATGCCAAAGGATGGCCATTTTGCATGAGAACAGCACCTACAGCATAGTCCGACGCATCTGCTGCAATTTCCAGGTTTTCGTCCCCCTCCGGGGATTTCAAAACAGGGCATTGATGAGCACTTCTTTTAACCTTCAAATGCGGTATTTGCTTCTGCTGTCCACGTGAATTTACTTTTCTTTCTTTTAATTACTAACAAGGGTTCAACAATATTAGCAAAATCTTTTTTGAATAATAATAAGAACATAATAAGAACATAACCCAAGAAAAGAAGAAAGTTTCTTGGCAGTGTTGGGAGGTGGGAAATTCTTGATGGCTTTTATTTTTGAATCTTGAGTTTCTATATCTATACCCTTTTGCGAAAATTTTTTATAACCCAGATATTTAAGTTCTTTAGTTGCGAACTTGCATTTGAGGCGTTAATTGTAATAACCGGCCTCCTTTTAATAATTTAAAAAACTTCTTCTAGGTCTTTAATATGTTGTTCCAACATACTACTCGTTATAATTATATCATCTAGATAGATTAAAGTCGATTTTCCTAGGATAGGCTTTAGAACAATGTCCATAGCTCTCTGGAATGTTGATGGGGCCCCACACAACCCAAAGGGCATGCGTAAAAATGCATAAGTTCCTGATTTTGTTATAAATGTGGTTTTATGTATGTCTTCGGGTCTCATAGCTATTTGATAGTAGCCAGACGTTAAGTCCAACGTAGTCATGTATCTTGTAGATTTAATCTTTCTAATAATTTCCTCTATAACCGGCAAAGGGTAAACTGGGAATTTAGTAACACTATTAAGTTTCCTGTAATCGATAGCAAACCTCCAAGCCCTTTTATCCGAAGGAGGAAACTTGTTCTTTTTCCTACATAGTACGACTGGACTCGCGTACTCACTATTTATGGGCATTATTATTTGGTTCTTTAACATTTCCTGAATGTGTTCTTCTATGATTTGCTCTTTCTGTTTATCATAGCGGTAAGGTTTAGTCCTACAGCGTTTGTCGGCAGTTAACTGTATCTCATGCGTAACTATTTGACAACTACCAGGCCATTCTGAAAACAAGTTTGAAAAAGTACTCACCACTTGCTGGATGGCTTGGCTTTCATGGTCATTCAAATGGCTAAGCTTCGGCTTGCGGTTGTTCCACTGGTTCCACCACCCTCCGATCCATCTCCAGCACGATAGAACTTTCCTGAAAATTCAGTTTTGCCTTCGCGGCTAAAAACTCCATACCTAAAATAAGTGGACTTTGCAAGTTTTTTACTACAAAAATTAATACTTTAAGGCTTTCGTTTTGAACCTGTATTTTTAAAGATAGTTTTCCAATACAATGACAAGTTTGTCCTTGCGCTGCTATGATTTCTGTGTTTTTATTTTTAAATAATCGAAACCTATTAAAATTCTTCTTAAACAAATATCACTCATAAAATTACCTTCTGCTTCTGTATCGATGAGGGCTTCTACTGGTACATCGCCAACCAAGACTTGTATAATTTGTAATTGTGAGTTTTTTACGATGACCGTATTTAAGTATCTTCTTGAGGGTTTTTTCAAAACTTCCGGGGTCTGGACCCTCGCTTTCACAGGCCCCTCTAGTCGTTTAAAGCTTTCCTTTCAACTTCTGCCTTCTGGGTACGCGGACGGTTGTTTTCAAATTTCCTTTTTGGGCCTTGACCTTCGAGCTTCGATGAGTTAGCTTGATAGCTCTTTCCCCCCATAAGAGCGGTTTGCATTTCTGGTCTGCTCATTTGAAGATTGCCTTTCGATACTTTGAGAATACGATGCCCCTCTAGCTTTTTCCGCTATTCTGCAATTTTGGAACTTGACCACCAATTCGAAGAGTTCCTGCAATGTGCTTGGGTTTCTAATTTCGAAGTGATCTTGAACAGCAGGTAGCAATCTTGGTAAGATTATTTCAATAATCTCCGCGTAATGCCCGTCAACTCTTCTATATTCCGTTGATAAAAACTATATAGTTCAGCTTCAAGCTTTGCTCGATCTTTCACTATAAGGAAGGCCTTTAATAATGATTTTTTGAAATTTTCAAATGTATATGTCTGGCCTCCGAATTCCCCTAATAAAAATTTGCCTATATTCTTCCACCATAGCGAGGCCTGTCCTCATAGTGCAGATGTGGCGATGGCAACTTTTTGTCTTTCAGGCATAGGGTAGAGCTGGAAGTGGTTTTCGAGGCCTTCTAGAAATATCGCCACCGAATTTTTCCATCGAAATTGACGTTTGGCTTGATTGACGCTCTCATCGTCTGGACCAGGTGTCCAAATCCTTTCAATTGGCTTGCCATTTCTTGTTGTTGTCCAGCAGCTTCCATCCAATTTTCGGCCATTTCAGTTCGACAAGTGTTCAGGTGCCAATGTAATGTGCGCTCCCAACCTGCACGCAACAATGGTGGTGACTGCTATGAATTGGAAATTACACAAAGTCTTGAGAAGGGCTTAAATCCCTTTTTATTCAACTTTAGAAATTACAGATGCATGCTCTTGACGCTCACAAACTACGCCAACCCGGCGGTAAAATAAAAGTAAGAAACTAAACATAAATAACAAGTGACTACCTAAGAGGCTCTCTAAAACGTAACTAACCTAACCGCGTTCTAAGATACCGCTGACAATTCAGCAAACTTCTGAATATTACGTTGAAAGATTTAACTATTTGCCGAGGAAAGAACACAAGCCGAAACGCGTGGTTCTTCAATCTCTACTTAGCCACCTCCACGCTCGTGAAGCAAGAAAGCACACTTTCGAACTCGTTTCCCTTCTATTTAACTCGGAATACTTCCGCTGACTATTTTGAATACTTCGCGCGTTCTACTAAAATTTACATACTCTGGCATTGGCAATTCCAGGGGAATGTAAGGCTTGATAGGAAAGATAGTTTAAACTTAAAATAAATGTTAGTTAAAATAAATATAAACCCTACAACCTGTTTTTGTTAGGAACTTGATAACCAAATGATGTTTGCATTTGTTTGTATACTCAGGTAGGATAAAGCAATAGTTTCAGTGCATTTCATAATCTTATATTATAGTTAGGCTCAGAATGCATTGAAGTACTCCATATATTGCAGGCTGATCCATAATATTATTCTTATTGTGTTTTTATATAAATGATTTATTTTTTGCAACATTGTTATATAAACATGAAAACCTTGCATATACTTTTGGGTTGATTTTAAACATAGGGCTTATAAAAAAACATGTTGGTAATTTTAAAGCATTAAACATCTAAAGATATAATTATTAAAAACTATTATATTTTGTTACAGTAGAACTTTTATATAAGTATCTGGAAATTAATTATTATTATTTTTTTTAATAATGCCGCTTAAAACGTTTTTTCATTATTGAAAGAAAGTAAGAGAAGCATTTAAATTCATTTCTGGTTTAGATACAGAAGAATAGCAGTTAATTCTACTCTGAAAACTGTTTCAGTTCAGGCCTTCTCATGATGAGAAGTTGGCCATTTGATAGCATTGATCTGTCTGCTGGTCAGTGATGATTTCCCTGGATATTGAAGCTCTTCTCTTGTGCAGTTGGGGCAATCAATAATTTGACAACTGCTGCAACTGCAAAATAAAATTAGAGCTTCATACATATACTCTTCCATAGTTCTTATGATTAGGATTTGTATGTTTCTTATTATGTCATGGTTTTGTTGAATGCATCTAGCTGCCATTTCTTGCAGTATCATGTCAATGAACAAGGATGCTATGTCAATTAGGAATAATGGTATGGTTGTTGCTGCTAGCACATGATCATCTCTGACAGATTCACATCTTTTTTACAATTAAGTTCTTTTAAATATAGGATCAAATATATATAAATCTTCTCTTCATTTTTATGACTATTAAGTTTATAACAACAAGTTTCTTATAAGATGCCACCAGTTCTAAGATGCAATGTATTGTCAAGGCATATATTTAAATATGTTGTGTACTCACAGAAGTAGAACAATATTAACCAAATAGTAACTATTATAAATTTTTAATGTATGCAGTTTGTTTTATGACTAAATTGTTCTAAATGCATAAAATTTTGTCTATAAATGTATATTGTTCCATATCACAGTATAGAATTTTATGTTTCAGTGCAAACGCGTTAGAAGTTTACTTATAGCTGGTGGTCATGAGTATGATGAATTTTATCCATATTTGAGGCAACTTGAGCTACCCTTCCAAAACTGTGTTAAGGACTTGCGGTCTCAAGTTGTTAGAGAAGCTTGTATAACCATTGCGTATGTATTTAATAACCTACTTGTAATAATATTCAGGAAAATAGAATCAATATAAAAATTAACATCTGAAATACATTTATCACTTAAATGCATTTTATTTATATACATATTATATATGGCTAATTGCATAAATTGCATTACAATTTTTATATTTTGTTTTTGATAATTTTTTTGTTTTAACTCATTAGATCTCATAGATTATAGTAGAACAGTGCGAAGTTTGAAATCCGGACATCCAGTATCTGAAATGATCTAAAAACTGGCCTTCAGACTACTGAAAAAAATTTTTTTCCCTTTCTTTCTTTCTTTCTTTTTCTTTCTTTTTTTTTTTTAAAGGAAATTTTTTATACTTTTTATATGCACATTTGATACTTTTTTCGTAATAAAATATGTGGAGAGACCAATATTTAATTTCGTTTGGGCACTAAATAAAATGCCTGTATGCGAAAGAACAATTACACTCATGTCTATAAATTAAGGATAATGCAAAATCAGGCAAAGGAAGAGTTAGAAGCAAAACAAATTTGACTTATTTGTGAAGCTTATTTATTAAACAAAAGGTAAAGAGCAAAAAAAGATGCTGTATGTTTGATATTATTAAAAAAATTAGCGATTTTTTCTCCCTAGAGCAAATTACAAAAAAAAAAAAAAAAAAAAAAAAAAAAAAAACCTATTTACAAAAAAACAATATTACATGATTGGTATGATTGTTAATGCATGGTTGGTCTCCCAGATGATGCAATACAGTTCGTACAACACCTAGGCATGCTGAGTATCAAATTATCGATCTGATCTTTGTGGATATTACACCACTCAAAAAGCAATGCTCTCCGAAGTTCCAGTATATATGTAGGAGGTGGTTGACGGGCTGCAACTCGTTGGCCAAGGATGTCCCACACATGCTCTACTGAATTCAAGTCCAGTGAGAATGCTGGCCAGTCCATACGGGTGATATCCTCCGATTGAAGACATTCGCTTATGATGTTTGCACGGTGAGGACGGACGTTGTCATCCATAAATGCAAAATGTGCGCCCATGGCGCCCCGAAACAAACGTACATGTTGTTCCAAAATGACTTCCAGATAGATTTGGCTTGTCATGGTTCCAGTTTGAACATGCAGGTCAGTTCTGGAACCCAAAATAATTCCACCCCAAACGAGCACTCCTGCACCACTGTAACGGTATTGTTCAATGATGTTTTCTTGGTGGTAACGGGTACCTGGAGCTCTCCATATGAAAGTCCGGCGAGAATCAGACTGAAAGCTAAACCTGGACTCTTCGGAAAACATCACACAAGCCCACTGTTGCGGTGTCCACAATGCATGCTCTCTACTCCAGGCTAACCGCAGGCGACAGTGAGTTGCAGTAAGTGGAACGCATCTGACAGGTCCACGTGCATATAGACCAATCTGCCCTAAGCGTCTGTACACGGTCTGCCTTGAAATTGTCGTACCAGTGGCTGAAGAGAGCTGACGAGACAAGTCTGAAGCTGTGCTCCGCCTGTTTCTTTTGGCAGTAACTGCCAAATACCAGTCCTCATTCGGCATTGTAGCTCTGGGGCGACCTATGCTGTAACTTGTACTCACATTACCATCATCTTGAAATCATTGCCAAAGCCTGGAGATGACACTCTGGGCAATTTCGTCTGATACTTCCAGTTGTGTACTCCCACATTCCACACGGCCGATAATTCTACCACGTAAAAAATTATCCAAATGCGTCCTTTGTGTCATACCTATTCGGTTATTGCACTGAAATGCTTATAAAGCACCTGCGAACAATTTTACTTCTTTGCCTGTATTCCTTATATATCACTCTCTTAATCTCTCGTCGTTGTGGTGTACCATCGGTGTCATCTGGTTACTTCCTGAAATTTGCATATGATTCTTGAAGATGTTTGTAGTGATTTTACAGGTGATATATTTATTTTAGAGTTCGATTTCCACGTGACTCCGAATTATCCTTAATTTATGGACATGAATGTATTTATTAGCATAAATCTGTGTTATCAATAATTTGGCTGAGTAGCCACCTTTGCTTGGCATAAATCTGAAATGGAATAATTTTACACCTACTAGATAATTTATATCTCTGATGCAACCTAGGGAATAATTATTTATTATTTTATACTTTCATCATCATGTAACTATCAACACACAGCACCTTGAGAAATGACTCGCACAGCAATGTCTTAAAAAATTATTTATTTTTATACATAGTGTAGCATAGTTTATATGACTCTCATTTATATGTCTTTTACATTTATATGTTGTTTCATCTTAGTCTTAATTCAGTCCTTTTCATTTTAATAGTAAAATTTTTCTTTTACATATCACATAACTTTGTTTATGCATGGTTGGTTTTTTATTATTATTAACTTAGTGCATTGGTTTAAAATTTCACAGTCCCACCTTTCAAGTATTTCCCCCAGAAATGAGGAGGATAGGAGAAGGAAACAAGGGCATGATATTTCACAGTCTGGTGCAGGAGGTGAAAAACCAGTTCATGAATAGAGGGAATATTTGGAAGGAAAACTTGTTTCCTTCTGAACAGGACTCTGTGTTAAGTATCCTAGATTGAGTAGAAATACCTAATACAAAGTGCTACAAAAATGAAAGGCACTTTAGATTTTAACTATATATATTAGAATGCTTGATAAAACCTTATAAAGTAAGATGCAAATTATCCATATTCAAGTTAGAATTTATTTTACATAATTAGTGCCCAGGGAAAACATTACAGCATTTCTAAATCAAAACTTACAGGAGCGTTTTACTGCATACCTCAGAACATCAAGCCAAGACAGTCAGTGTACTTCGACACCTATCTGCTTTCTACTGTCCTTGAGACGCGTCACCACCTGTTCTCCTTTGTCTTCATCTGAGGTGTGCCTTTCAAGAAACATAGTCTGATGAGATCGCTACAAGCAACCCCCCCCCCTCTTCAGCGACAGCGAGATTTTAGCTATGCCTGGGACTGAAGTGTATGCATCAGCCTGAGCGAGTTACCATTGCCGGTGATTCACAGTTCCCTGCAGGTATAGCTGCCGGTGGCATAGGAATCTACGATTTTCTAGGTGGATCACCTTGGATCAGTGTTGGGAGGGTAGTTCTGTGATTGTGTGTGGGTGCTGAGTCTTCAGCATCTTTTCTTGTGACATATGCTGGCTTAAGCCAATCAATGCTTACTCTCTTAGCTTTGTCCCGTATGGAAATTGTGACAACTTTGTCGCCTCCACTGATCACTTCATAAAGGCCTTCATATGGCGGCTGAAGTCTTTTTTTCACTACATCCATTCAAAGAAAAACATGATTGCAGGTGGCTTTGCTGACGAATACCGCTTGCTCGCTATGAGGTTAATTTGTAAGAGGTAGGAAGCGTTGCATAGATTCGCAAAGCTCTCCGACAAAAGTCACTGGATCTGGGGGTTCCAGAAGTAGGGCACAGGAATTCTCCTGGGAGATGAATTGGAGTTCGACACACCATTTTTGCTGTGGTTGCTTGCAGATCATCCTTCCAAGTGGATCTGAAACCTAATAAAATTATAGGCAGTACAGCAGTTAACTGTTTATTGCTGTGTGCCATGTTTGCGGATTTCAGCTCCCGATGAAATCTTTCAACTTGGCCATTTGCAGATGGATGGTATAAAGATGTGCTATGTCGAGCTGTACCCAGAAACTTGGTTAGTTCATCGAAGAGATGATTTAAACTGCCTTCCCTGGTTGGTAGTTAGCCGAAGTGGGTATTCAAATCTGGAGATCCAACCTGCGTAGAAGGCTGCTGCAACAGACTGTGCGGATATTTCTACTAACGAAAATCCCTCTGGCCACTTTGAAAAATGATGACATGCTGATCCTGTATGGAGTTGCAGATTGTAACGGGTACGACACTCATCAGTTGTACCAGGAACACAACCTGAATAGGTGTGCTTCAGATCACACGTGAACGAAAGGTTACATGAGACTGGTTGTTTAACGAGAGCTACAGTGAATCGACAGCAAATGACGAGGACACCTGGCAATGAGGAGGCGGTCTTATATCTGGTAGAAGATAATCCAAGTATGAGTACTCGAGCGATAGTCCAACAAGTGGGTTTATCTCAATTTTTTGTGTGGAAGATACTCGCAGGAAACCAAATGAGCGCTACCTAGAGCCTGAGGATTATCCACTCCGGAAGAAGTTTGCTACATAGTTCTTGCAATAGTGCTACAGACAGCACATTTGCTGCATCTGTATTGTTCACGGTTGAAGCATACTTCACACATGAGGGAGCCTTCAATCAGCATAACACTTATGTATGGGTTTTGGAGAACCCTCATCGTACGCAACCACATGCAGCTCAATAGCAGTCAGTGTTTGGGATGGCATTCTTGGTGACTACATCACTGGACCGTACCTTCTGCCCAGTCTTTTGGATTAATAGGGCATACCTGATCTTCTTGCAACAAGTCCTGCCTGAATTTCTTGACACAGAACATGTTTCTCCGTTGTTGTGCCACCCCATGTGGTACTAGCATGACGGAGAATAAAATCATTAAAATTTAGTGAAGGCACTGGTATGCAAAATTTAGGGACAGCAAAACTTTCAGAATTTAGGGAGCTACTTGGCAGCAGATTTAGGATCCACAGAGATTGCGCTGGACTGCAAAAAAGTAAACACCAGCTGTGGAGAAACCTGAAGTGTATGTAGAAACTTATTTATTTGAGACTCGAATGTTGAGCATATGCAGGAAATAAGTGTGAGTATAATAAATAACTTAACTAATTTAATTCAGCCTTAGCTTCATTAACATGTGATAGAAGCAAGACAAAATTCAGTAGAACAACATCTCATTAAGCTTTAGTTGCCTATCACAATACGTCACCAATGGTATATGAGGAATATTAGCTAAGCGTTATGATGATGGCTGCGAATAAACTAATGTAATTCAGGCTCAACTTCGTCAACATGTGATAGAAGCAAGATGAAATTCAGCGGAACAACATCTCATAAAGCTTTAGTTACCAATCACATGATATATCACCAAAAGTATATGAAGAATACTAGCTTACCTTTATGATGATGGCTGCGAATTTGAAGTTTTCAGATATTGCAGGCAAAAAATTAAATGTTCCAATTAATGGGATTTGTGGAAAAGTTTAAAGAAATGAGGATGCTATAATAGAAGATTTTCCATTGCGATGAAAATGCCTCAATCATCAATCGACTAATGGGTGACAAAGTCTTAATATGGTTCTAAAGCCAGAAACTATAACTATGTATTGGGAAGAAAGTGACAGAGACGTATGACAATTTAATGGGAATTCTCGACACGGCAGTTACAGAACTTGAACTATGGAACATTGTAACTGAACACGAAATGTAAAATCTGTAAAATTAAGGACAAAATATTAGCAAAAGAAATGAAACAGCTTATACACCTTACGCTGAAAGAACTGTTTAGTAAAGGAAACAACAATATATTGAGGGTTTTTTTTTTTTTTTTTTTTTTTTTTTTTTTTTTTTTTTTAATTTTGAATCCCTTGAGGTCAAAATGCTTCATTGCTTCAAAAACTACTATTTCGTATTTTAAATTTTATAAGTTCTACATATCACATTACTAGAATCTGAAAAAAACCGTAATCTGGAATCGCCAATGTCTATCAAGCCTGGATCTCTCACTTTGTACTCAAGTAGTAGCAGCAACAGCTGCAAAAAATACATTGAAATAATCTTATTTAGGGTATTCTTTAAACATTTGCTAATAGGAATATATTTTCTTTCAGATATCTTTCTCAGCAATTAGGAACAAAATTGGATCACTTTGCTGAAACATTGTTGCCATCACTTATTAACTTAATTCCAAATAGTGCCAAGATAATGTCTACTGCTGGAATAGTTGCCATACGTTTTATAATCAGGGTAATAATTTTTTCCTATCTTCCAAAACTGCCTCTTAATACCTTTCCAATTCTTAATAAGATTTATACTTAAAATATTTTAAACTTTTCTCTAAAAGTAATTTGGGAAGGAATTCATATATGATATTTGTTTATTTATGTTATTTATTTATTTGCGTATTTATTTTTGATTACTGCAAGGAATTTTTGCTTTTTTTATTATGCTTATCATTAAATGTAACTAAAATGGTCCTATTTAATTTCCTCCTGTAGTATACACATGTCAGCCGGTTAATACCTATTATTACTTCTCATCTTTCTTCAAAGTCAAAAGACATTAGAAAGTAAGTCTCCTTTGTTATTTCTATTTTAAATATTTTGTTTTTACATTATGTATTTGTTAGCTACATTGAAAAATAAACTCTATGCCTGAGGTACTGATTTAAACTTTTAATTCTAATTACCATTAAACAACTATATGATAACAGAAAAATACATATACATGCTTATGTATTTAAATATACAGTAAGTCCAAAGTTTAAAGGCCAATGTCCAGACAGAATGATCTAATATCTGGACCTCCTGATCACCAGTAATTATTTTAAAGTTTTTTTTTTTTTTTTTTTTTTTTTCTAGAAAGGGAGAAAGACTGATTCTAAAAGTAGTTTCTTGCTTTAGATATGCTTATGCTTCATATATGCCCAATACACATTTTTTTCATTATGAAATATATGAAAGGTTCTTATCTTAATTTCATTTGGATACTAAATAAATACATCTATGTTGAAGAAAGCAATAAATTATTACCTCAAATCTATATTATATTAACAATGATTTGTTGGTTATATATCTACCTTAGCATATTACTCTTTAGCATACATCTCAGACTAAAACAGTATACCAAAAGTTCTCTAATCATCACCATGCGACTATCAACTTATGGCAGTTTGTGAAAGGACGCAATCCCTAAAATATTTTTTTTAAATTAGTAATTGAATACTAAATTGTGTGCTTATAGTCTTTTATGTTGACTTTATGCTTAGAGACGATTATAAACTTCAGCCAACTGTGCTGTGATGTGTTGATGAGAGAAATTTAACAGAGCTTTCTGTCCATATGCAAAAAATAGATTTTGTTAATGATATTGTTGCATACATATGGGTTAGTAATAGATTGATTGCACATAGAACCGATGATAGCTTGATAAAATTTATTTTTACCAAAAGAAATTTTTCACCGCAAAAATTCTCATACAGCTCTTCACAGTCTCATTGAGTAGAATCAGTAGTTACTCTTCAAAATACTAAGAGCATGAAACACAACACAATGAAAAATGCATCTAAAAGGCAAAGCTCTCTCGGATATCTCAATACTCTGAAGTCACTCTGAACTAACAACTACTACTGCTGAGAAACTGATGCTATCTCCAGTCTTATATAGTTTTACCCAGGCCGTCAAGAAATCTCTAATATTTTCTGCTTCTCTAAATTACTAGAAAGCATATGAGGGTCAGATGCGGTTACAGCTAATATAGGAATCATTTATTTATGCTATAAAAATATAAAATACAAAATAAGTAAATAAATAAAAAAAGTAAAAAATAAAAAAATAAAAAAATTAAAAAATACAAAAAAAAAATACCCCCCCCCCCAAAAAAAAAAAAAAAAAAAAAAAAAAAAAAAAAACTTGTGACTTAATGATTTTTTTCCTTGCCCAAACTCTCTTGAGCTATTGTGGCTCCCTCTAGTTTGCATTAAACTAACCAATTATGCAACTTTCCTATTTCTGCTTACTACTTAGATATTTTATGATGTGGAGGTGCATGGTTTTGGCTAATATAGGAATCAATTACTGTTATTCAGTAACAGTATATATTAGTTTTACAGAAATCAGATCAAAATGTCACCAAATGGATGCCAAGTTTCATGATTTAAGGCAATTTTTCTCCAAATTTGGCATAAAACCGCCCAAACGGTTGCCAAATTAACAAGGCAGTCATTTACTCAGCGTTAAATAGACTTACCCCTGTATTCTTATTTTTCAGCTAGAACATAGTTTCTCTCAAGCTTTTCATGTTATTTTACACAGAAAAATACAGCAGTTTTGTTATATCATTTCACTAAAATTATCTACAAATTTGTGACAATATTCATAGGCCAAAAGATTACATTTAATGCTATTTGAATTAAGAATAACTGGTATGTTATTCATATAAGGCTTACATATATGCAGGAAACAGACATAAGTGTAGTAAATAACTAAATTAATATAATTCAGGCTTAACTTTGGTAGTATGCAATAGAAGTAAGACAAAATTTAGCAGAACAACATGTCTTTAGAGAACAGTCTTATGATACATAGCCTGTAGTGTAAAGTGGATGCTAGCTAAGCATTAAGCTATGTTAAAAGGAGACATTATTCGAAATTTGTAGTATGGTTCTAAATGTAGAATATGTCACTACCACTAGTGAAGAAAATGGCAAAGAGGATGATGAGACTAGAAAAATTTCGATTGACAATTTTGTGGGAATTGTTGACTCATTAATTACAGGATTGAATAATGGAACTTTTGACTGGACAGGAAATTATCTGAAGTAACTGAAATAACTTTTGTAGAAAGTAATGTGTAATAAATCAACAAATTAATATTGTTTTTTTTTTAATAAATTTTGAATTTTTTAAGATCATAAATCGTTCCTTCTTTCGTAAACAGCTATTTTCTAGTTTTAATTTTATGATTTTTGTAGGTCATCTGACTAGATTTAATTGTATTATGTAAAATATGTAATTGTTGAAGTTGTGATGAGTCCTTGATCTCAGACATTTTACTCTACAAAATTTCATTTTTCATCCAGTTTTCAGACTCTTTTTCATTTGTATTTTTTTCTTTTACCTTCATTTTATGTAAAGGTTATGGGATGTGCAGATTTAAAAAATTTTTCAGGAATTTTTCTATTGAAAGATATATTTCTTACTCATACTGCAGCCTACTTATTCATAATTACAATATTATTGTAGAAGGTTTTCTTGTTTTTTGCTGACACAAAAATTAACTAAGTATTTTTTCATTAAAAATATTTTTTATATTTCTATTTTTCAGAACATGTTTTGAATTTTTGGACCAACTCCTTGTGACATGGCCTACTCATCCAATGGAAAAACATGTTGGTATTCTCACAGATGCTATAAGAAAAGGCATCAGTGATGCTGATCCCGAGGCTCGTGCATTCTCCCGAAAGTATGTAATTTTAACATATTATTGTAATGATAAGTTAATAAATTATGAAGATGGTATTAAATAATTCCACCTCCTTTCCCATAATGAAAGGAAAACATTATTGGTTTAATAACAGATATTAATAGATAATGAAAATGTGTGTTTATTAAATCATATGATCTGGTATAGAAGCATTAACCCTCTCAGTTGCACAGTTTTTTAGATCTGCTCATGAAGTGTAATTAAACCTGTAATTAAACAGCAATTTTAGCTAAATTTGTATAATTGCTTATTTTGGTCTTTGTTTTCGTGAACTTCCATTAAGATGATATTTGTATCATTAATGAAAGTGAGAAAGCAAAATATTGTAACAAATGAATATCTTCTGTAGAATGCGTTGCCGATGATATACATTTGTTACAATATTTTATACATATTTTAAATTATAAGCTAATTTATACCAAGTGACAAAAAAGTCTGATGACTGGATAAAGCCTGCGATGCCGCTCAGGATTAGGGATTTTTCAGGTATTTGTTTTTTGGGTATAGCAAATGCATTTGATTTCAAAGATGTAGTGGGGGAGTTGGAGATGCTAAATAACAATTCCAACGTGTTTTCCACACCACAGAACATTTAATAAAGATAATCAGAAATGGTCAAATTAGATTAAATACAAGTGCCGTTTGATACAAGCAGGATTCTGTATAGCTTTTGCCAGTCTTATCACATAACCGATTAGTGCCTACTCGCACTTGCTGATGTATTATACAGTCAATTTACCACCTTCGCGTGGAAAACTACAGTTCCTTATTCTACACCTTCACGTGTAGACAGACATCTCACCACCTTCGCGTGGGATAGCAGAAGAAAGGTCTTTCTGTCTATGTCATACTCATCTTTCACCTCGCTCTCGCTGCTGGCGCATCGGTGAAGGCCCTCTGGTGATTGTGTCGCACCTTACAGATACTACAGCTCGTCCGTCCTGACAACTTTTCGTCTTCCTAGAAAACACGGATCAGCAACACTGGAACATCAAGTCAGCACCTGAAAATAAATTAAAAAAAAAAAAAAAAAAAAAAAGAAAGAAGTGTGGAAGAACCACACATAGTTCTATATAGTAGAAGTCCACGGCTTCATGAGATCAGCTGCTGTAGTGGTACATCCAGGACCTTCATGGTGTCCCACTTTTTTCACCTAGTAATGATCTTTGCCTTTCCTCGCTGTTACATGGTATGGACCGAAGAACTTTGGCCCTAACTTTAGTCCACCTCTATACTGTGTTATTTGTATGGCAATTAAGTCGTTCACATTGTATACTTGTGCCTCTTTTCTCTTCTTGTTGTATGTTTTTCTATTCTCTTCCTGAATTTTTAGAATGGTTTTCCTTGCTTCCTCTCTCATATCTTCTCGATCTTTCATCATAATATTTTTTTCTTCTTCTTCGAGAATTTCCATAATCTTTAAGTCTTCTCGATTTCTCATTTTAACACCAGTGAGAAGCTCAAATGGAGAACTCTTTGTGCTTCTGCTCTTAGTGCTGTTCAAGATCCTTCGTACATCTCCAACATATTTGTACCACTTGGTTGGATCATCTATGGATAATTTAGATAGGACTGGAATCAGAGTGAGATGAATCCTTTCCACTTGTCCATTTCCTCTAGGAATGCTTGTAGTTGTAAATATGTGCTGGATCTTCTCTTGACTACGGTAATCTTCAAAGTCTTTAGAGGTAAACGCCGTACCTTTATCACTTATAATTCTCAAAGGATTACCAAAAGTTCATTGTTGCAGTCTTCTGCAATGCTTCTTGAGCTGATGTAGACTTTACTGGATAGAGCCACACGAACTTTGTGAATGCATCAACCACGGTTAAGATGTGATTTTAGTTCTTATTTATCGAAGGTAATGGTCCTATAAAATCGATATGAAAAGTGCTCAAAGGGATACTATCTTTTGGTATGGGGATTCAGCAATCCTTCGCCCTTACCTCGTTTTCTGTCGCACAAAAAATACATTCTACACAATTTGAAATAACTTGTTCAATTCGTTTTCTAAGGTTAGGAATATAAAAGTCCATTTTCAGCAGATCTTCTGTTTTAGACACTGTGAAAAGTGTCCCTTGTGAATAATACTATGTATGATTTCTAGCTCTAATGCTTCGGGTACGACAAGTAACTCACAACCACTGTTGAACTTGTATAATACTCAATTTTTCACTAAAAAATCTTTCTTCAGTCCTTGCTCGACTAAGGATTTTAGCAACTGGAGACGCTCATCACTCCTTTGCGCAGCTGCAATTTTGGCTGTAACTTCTCCCTGAGAACAAGTAACCATCATAACGGCGTTTCTACTTAATGAACCCCCATGTTTCATTTGTTGCCCGATCTGTGAACAATTTCATAGTCAAATTCTTCTAGAAGTAACGCCCATCTCGCCACTTTAGGGTTAGATCTTCTTGAACATAGTCTTCTGGAAAGCATCGCAATCCGTAACTATCCTGACCTTTAGATCCTAAAAGGTAATTCCTGAATTTCTTTAGAGCTTCTACTATAGCTAAAACTTCAAGCTCATAACTAGATAGCTTCTCTTGTTGGAGACTCGTTTTTTTACTCATGAAGTAAATGGGGTGTTGTAACTGTCCATCATCTGACTTTTGTAGCAAAACAGCGCCGACTGCTTGCATCTGTATGCAATTCTAATGGTGCTCCTTGTTTAAAAATATGAAGAACCATACTTGTGGATAAAAGTTCTTTCAATTTATTAAATGCATCTTTTTGCCCAGGCCCAAATTTGAATTCTGCTCCGTTACGAAGATCACTTAATGGTTTTGCTATTTTTGAATAGTTGGCAATAAATTTCCTAAAATACCCAGTAAGACCCAAGAAACTTTGAATCTGCTTAAGGACTTTTGGGTTCCGGGAAATTTTGAACAGCCCTGGTTTTTTTCAGTAGAGGGGGAATTGAATTGTGCCATCCTCAATAACATACCCGAGAGAAATTATATTTTCCTTTTCAAAAGTTGACTTTTCAAAAATTGGCATTCTTAAAATTAATTCTCCAAACCATATTCTTTGGCTACTTCTAAAAACGTTTTCCAACTTTTCTAAACCTTCTTTCTCATTTCGTGCTGGAAAATAATAAAATCGTCCATGTAAGTAACAACAGTGTCATCCCGAATTAAATCTCTAAATACACATTATAAAATAAATCTTTGGAACACACTAGGGGACGTGCACAAACCAAAAGGTGCTTTTAGAAATTCTTACAAGCCTGCATGAGTAATAAATGCCAAATATTTAGTGCAGTTTTCCTCAACTGAAACATGAAAAAAACCATTTTTTAAGTCTAATGTCGAAAAAACCTTTGCTTCACCCAAACGATCTAAAACCTCTTCTACTTGTGCCATAGGAAAAGAATCCTTAACTATTTTTTATTTAACTGCCTGAAGTCAACACAAATTCCGTGTCTTGCCACATTTTTTTCTACACAAAACAATTGGCGAAGCATATTCTGAACACGACGGCTTTATAATCCCATCCTTTAACCATTCATCTATTTGATTATCAACAATTTTTTGGTCAGCAAAAGGAATTCTCCTCGAACGCTGAGAAACTGGAATTTCATCTTTTAATATTACTTTCATTTTTAAGTCTGTACTGCGTGGCTTTTCTAATGGTTTATACTCATCAATGAGAGTGGAAACAGTATTGCGTAATCCTTCATCTTTAATATGCCATAAATCTGTTTCGCTGTCTGCCTCAATGGCTGCAGAAATAAAAGACAAAAAATTCCTTTCCGACGTTTGGCAGAATCATTTTCATATTGCGTAAACATCACCTGGTCAGAACAGATCATTTTTAGACAGGAAGGGGGAAAATACAGTCTTGTTATCAAGTCATCAACCATCGCTGCTTCTGTTTCTTTTTGTTTTTTACTTTCGCATAAAGAAAAACTTCGCCGTTTCCGCATTAACCACATGACCAAACGAACTTTTGAGTTCTATACATCCACTTGATTATTTATTTGGAAAAAGGGATTTCTTTACAACTATCAATTCACTTCCAGAATCTATTAAACATTTTACTTTCTTACCATCAATCAACAGTTCAATAAATTCTAACTTATTTCTAGCTGCATTATCCGATCCAATCTTTAACCCAGATACCTTTTTTGGAGACAAACTTTCCTCCTTTTCTAAACATTTGGGACAATTTCTCGCAAAATGAAACAATTCCCCTTTACTCCCACATACATAGCAAATATGTTCGGGTTGACTACTACCCTGATTTACAAACTTCCCTGAATCCTTGAAATTGCTCTGAGCTTTTCTAAGATTGTTTTTGGGAAAATTAAGCTTTTTATTTCCCTGGAGTTTCGATTCGTGTGTTACTGGTATCAACTAAAGATTTACCCCTGGATGAATAAAATAAATCACATTCTCTTCCCAATTGATTAGGTGGGAACCAACTTTGACCCTCCCGAACACTAAGATGTTCCTTTGTTTTAGAATCAGGAGTTTCATACAACTTATCAGATACAATAAGATCACACAATTTCTTAAAGTCATCTACCTCTCTTAGCTTACAATAATAATTGAAAGTTGCACTGAGTCGAGACGCGAACTGAACATGATGAATGTCTCTGCACATTTTAAAAATTGTTCAAACATTCACGCGGTGTCAGCTGAAATTCTTTCAAGATTAGAGTTTTTAATTTATCATAATCCGCGATTTCTTGTTCAGAAACATACGTTAAAACATTATTATATTTATCACCTAACAAATTAATCAACACTTTTGATTTTAACTCCACTGGTACACTTGTAGTAGTAAAAGCTTTCTCAAGTGACTGAAAAAACAAATGCAGAGCTTCCGGTTTCTGTGGTACAGCTATAGTTAGTGTTTTGATGCTTTTAATGATATCTTCAACACTAGTCTGCGCGTTTCCTATATCACTCGATAATGATTGTGATTTTAAACTTTCTAGCTAAATCTGCTTCTCAATTTGAGCTAATTTAAGATGTTCGATCTCTAGCAGATAGTGTTCATTACTTGTTTTAGGCGTCCGATCCTCTGCGATCGATTTGACGACGCCACGAACAAATTCAACGTTTGTTTTGAAAATATCAGAATTTTCGATAATTTTTCTAATGTCACCTTTTTTTAGCATTTTCTGGAACAGTCTGTCCAATTTGTTCCGCAATTAAGTATCCAGGTATGAAGTATTCAAATATCAAGTATCCAAATATCCCGGCCGAGCCCCTGTTTTTCTGTAGTGGGGGAGTTGAAGATGCTAAATAACAATTCCAACATGTTTTCCACACCACAGAACATTTAATAAAGATAATCAGAAAAGTTATAAATTAGATTAAATAAAAGTGCTTTTTGATACAAGCAGGTTTCTGTATAGCTTTTGCCAGTCTTATCACATAACCGATTAGTGCCTACTCGCACTTGCTGACTGATATGTATTATGCAGTCAATTTACCACCTTCGCGTGGAAAACTAAAGTTCTTTATTCTACACCTTCACGTGTAGACAGACATCTCACCACCTTCGCGTGGGATAGCAGAAGAAAGTCTCTGTCATACTCCTTTTTCACCTCGCTGCTGCCACATCAGTGAAGCCCTCTGGTGGTTGTGTCGCACTTACAGATACTACATAGATGTACCTTCATAAGTATTATTAAAAAAAAAAAAAATGTGTTTTTATAACTAAGCAAGCTGTCTGGCATCATAGGAAACAAAATTAAAAATATTTGTTTTGAAATTCTTTAGTGCAATGTGTCTGATAAATAGAAAGAGAGATTTATTGTATAATTGTAATTCTGCACACCGATAGTTGAAGCAATCATGATTTTGTTGTATTTTGAAACCTAATTTTTTGTTTTATTTTCAGTAAAATGATTTGAAATCATATTTTTTCAGGGCATTTTGGAGTTTTGCAGATCATTTCAGAGAACAAGCTGATAGCCTTTTAAATTCTCTAGACAACAGTAAGCAGAGAATGCTTCATGATGAACTTACTATGAGTAATTCTTCCAGTAGTAGCTCACTTACTCAGAGTGGCAAGCCATATCGTTCAACTGTGTCCAATCATGCTGGCTCTGTAGAAAACCTGAGGTAATCAAAAAATAGATAAATAAATAAATAAAAATGAAGTAAAATAATATTGTCAATAAACAATGTTTTCCTCTTAGAGTTGTTAGTATCAAAATGCATTACTCTTAAAAATTTGTTGTTGTTTTATAATAGTATTTCCTTATCATTAAAATACTTTATTTATAAAGTATCTTGGTACTATCTTGGAGGGGGCGACCCTGTAGTGATCTTTTTTAACATTTAAAGGTATTTAAAACTTAAATCTTGATTAGCAAATGTTTTCATAACTGAAGTAACTGCCAAGTATATTAACTATATGAGCGTGCTTGAAATGCACAATTAATTGCATTATTAAAAATATGATATTTTGAAGAAGCCAACTGTGCTCTAAGATGAAGTTATTATAATGAAGAGTTCTCATAGTAGGTTATGATCAGCTATGTTCAGTCATGCTTCCTCTGTAGAAAATTGTAGATTGTTATCCAAGTTTAATGAATGTTGTCTTTAATAAGAGAATAAAATGTCATATCTTGTTATTTTAGTGATCCATTTTTATTATTAATAAAAGAATTAAAATGATCAGTAATCATGCTACCTGAATAAATGCCTTTCAAAGAATAAGTGAAATGAATTGTAAAGTTATGTAAAAAAAAAGAAAAAATATGCATTTTAGTATGCTTAAACTTTCTGCTGTAATAAAGACCAAATTATTAAATTACTTATTTCTCTTTCTACTACATAATTGTAACTATTTATGCAAATAAACTTTTTTTGTTTAATTATCATGTTTTAATAATAAATAAGATCTCATTTACAGTACACTAAAGCTTTATTTCCTTCAAACATTTTTAACATCTGTCATAGTTTTTCAAAAACAATTATTATTTATTTGATGATTTATTATTTATTTATTTTATTTGTTTACTGAGTTGGTTATTTTATTTAGTAGTACATTTTAACGAAGAAGCAGAAAACTGATGTGTTCACAGATTCTTTAAAATCCCTCTTTTAATTTGAATCAAATTCCTTTTTCACCTTACTTAAACTATAAGTAATTGAATTTCCTTATTTCTGTTTAATGGTAAATCATTCGTAAAATAAAATATTTCTTCATTCATCAGTATTATCATTTTCATTGTAAAATAAATATCTCTGATTTTTTAAACTTATTATTTTTATAGAAATGTGTGAAAATCATAACTACTCCTTTATAATTTAAATTTTAATTGTTTTGAATATATAATTTTGAAAATGAAGTAAAACATGTCTTTATAACAGTGATCTATCTATCTATAAGTGCTGGCATCTTTATGCAAGTTAGCCACTATTGGCCAAACAGCCCTCCCCCCCAAAAAAAAGAGTCCCCACAAATGGTGCTGTGGCATAAAGGTGCTTGCTTTCTTACCAGGATGAATATTGAGCTGGAAGAAAGTGACCTTCATAAGGATATAAGCAACTTTGTGCTGTGGCATGAGTATACAAGTGTGCTGCATAAACCCATGCAACATGCATTTGTAATTGCATGCAAGATATATGTTAAGTTACCTATGACCCTTCATGCATAAAAAACATAAAAACTGAATGCAAATATATCAGAAAGTTTTATGAATCCTCCAAAATTTTCCAAAAACTGTCCTCTAAGCATTTTAAACTATCAGTGATTTTACTTTGAATACCATTTACATTTTCAGCTCCTAAACTATTAATCAGTTTGTTTCCTTAATGTTAAAAATGTGGAGTAATATTATCATTCTTTCTGGTGTAATGCTTTTGCAACATAATTAACTGAATAATATGAATTGTAGAATATTTTTGTTATCTGTTTCTTGTTGAGAAAAATGTTTTACTTTTATCGCTTAGAAAACAAGAAATAGATTAAATTTTATTTGTTTTTAGTAAAATGATTTGAAATCATTTGTCAGGGCTTTTTGATGTTTTGCAGATCATTTCAGAGAACAAGCTGATAGCCCTTTAAGTCCTATAGTTATCTATTTCTTGTGTTCTAAATAATGGAAGTTTAATATTTTCTCACGTGTAGTTATGTATAGCATATACGTACATGCATGTAATTTTAAAATATTTCCTCCTTCTAATAGCCTTGGCCGCACTGGAACACTAGGTAGACGTACAGGAATTTCTAACTTACCAAACTCCAAGACAGATGCTTGTAAGTATTTAAAATATCACCATGCTTAGCATCTTAATTTCATCTATGAGTATATTAATGCATGATGAACTGCATGCTTTTTCATTTTCACCAGCATCTTTGTGTTTATTGAGCATGTTATTTATTTATTTTTATTCTTTATTTATTTATTTGTTTTGGGTCTGAGTGAAAATATTCTTTTGTTACTTTAGGCAACATGATTAATATTGTCACAAACTAACTACAAAGGTTTTCTTTCTTTCTTTCCCCCCCTTTTTTTTTATTTTTTTTAAGAGAGAGAGAGAGCGTATTATTTTGTTAAAAAATTCTTTTATTTTGAGAATAACTCTTACATTGGTTTGTATGAACTAACTATGCAATTAAGTTCTTATTGAGTTCCTTTATTATGTGGAATTCTGTTTTCATCATCATTTTGCCCCTCTTTTTTTCCTTTCTTCACATTTTCATACAAAATATATATGAAGTAAATTCATCAGAATTTATACCTTCGCACTTATGATATTTGTTTAACCTAAGCTATCATTCAGACATTGAAATGAAGCTCATTCTAGAATTTAAATAGACAGATTGCTGATTTGAAAAAATAAGATGGAAACTTTGGAGGAGAGGTCGTATTTTTAAGAGAGATTGAATTTTTTGTTCCATTCATAATTTTTCCAATGTATTTAGAGTTTTAATTGTGAAATTATATGAAAATATTCCAAATAACAATGTGTCATTTAAGGTTGTAATAAAAACGTAATTAGAAACGTTTTTTTTTTTTTTTTTTTTTTTTTTTTTTTTCTGAAATTAAGTAGTTGTTATGTGGATGAGCAACACTAAAATGCATTAGGATCTAAATTTCAGTAAAAATACTTCCTGAATTGATGTCGGAAGAATTTGATTATTGTAGTTTTTAAAAAACAATATTGATCATCATTTAAACATTTGCTAATTCTGCATAATTTAGATGCATATTTTTTCTTTAATCATACTTTTAATTTATTACGGATTTCATCCTTTTGCTATCTTTTTTTTTTTTTTTTAAATACTTTTCCTTTTCAATACAATTTTTTTTTTTTAACTGGTAGATCATGAGGTTTAATGTTGACAAAGTCTTTTATATTTTCTTAAAAATTTAAGCTAAATATGTTTTTATTTCCTTTTGAATTTATGCTCGCAATATACTTTTTTTAGTAAAATTTAATTTATTATGTGAATAGAAATGAAGTTATATAGTGTCATTTCAAATTAACTAGAGAATTAATATTGTTGAACAAAAGCAACAAACAGTATATTTTATTACAAGAAAAATATATTTCCTTATTCAGTAAATGAGCTAGTAAATTTATGATTTAATTGGTCTTTAGTAATAGCATATTTTTACATTTAGTATTATATTTTATAAAAATATACCACAATACTGAGTACATATATGAATTATCCAGTATTTATGCTTAATATTATAAATAAGGTTTAATTTAAACTCTTTGACATTTATTAGTGACACATTGTTACAAAGTCTGAGGTCAAGAATAATCAAGGCTTCAGTGATTCCAGATTTTGGAAACTTATAGACTTCAGATTATCAGCTTAAATGTAGGAGATGACATGTAGAAATATTTAGAATTATAAAATTAAAAATATAAAATATTTTGTGAAATAATGAAGCATTTATGATATTAAGGGAATCAAAATTTATAAAAAAAAAAAAACTCAATATTTATTTGTTTATTAAACATTTTCTTTCAGTTTATTAAATTGTTTAAGCGGTTCTCTTTTCTATTTTTAGTGATTATTTTGTCTTTAATTTTATGTATGATTTCGTTTGTCAGTTACAAAGTTTCATTGTTCAAGTTCTGTATGCGCCATGTTGAGAATTCCCATTAAATTGTCAATCAAAATATTTTCATTCTAAAAAACCCCTTATCATATTTTTACATTTAGTATTATATTTTATAAAATATACCACAATACTGAGTACATATATGAATTATCCAGTATTTATGCTTAATATTTATATAAATAAAGGTTTAATTTAAACTCTTTGAACATTAGTGACACATTGTTACAAGTCTGAGGTCAAGAATAATCAAGGCTTCAGTGATTCCATTTTGGAAACTTATAGACTTCAGATTATCAGCTTAAAAGTAGGAAGATGACATGTAAATTATAAATTAAAAATATAAAATATTAAAATTTGTTTGAAATGAATGAAGCATTTATGATATTAAGGGAATCAAAATTTATAAAAAAAAAAAAACTCAATATTTATTTGTTTTATTAAACATTTCTTTCAGTTTTATTTAAATTGTTTAAGCTGTTTCTCTTTTTATTTTGTAAGTGATATTTTGTCTTTAATTTTATGTATGATTTCGTGTCAGTTACAAAGTTTCATTGTTCAAGTTCTGTATGCGCCATGTTGAGAATTCCCATTAAATTGTCAATCAAAATATTTTCATTCTAAAAAACCCCTTATCACATTCTTCAGCATTGATAATATTATTTTCTGGATTTAAAACCTTACTACAGATTTTGTCTTCCATTTGATGATAGCTTATCATCATTGCAATAGAAATCTTCCGTTATATCATCTTCATTTATTATTATTTCTCCATATTTTTTTCACAAATTCCATTAATTGGAACATTTTACGTATAAGCCTATAAAGGCTTCAGAATCTACACCAAAATAAGGTTGTTGTTTTACCTCATTCTGAAATTACACTTTCATAAGCTAGAGTTGGCCGGTGCCATTTTCTCTTACCAAGGTCACTATAGAAGCAAGTACCAAAATACTTTCCTTTTATAGATCCTGTTTACAGCCCACCAGCAGCCGAGCGGTAAAGTGGCTGAACACTGGTAGTTTGGTCCGGGGTTCGAATCCCGCGATCGGGCTGGCTGCATGGGTGTTTTCATGGTTTTCCCCATGTGTAACGTGTATACGAGCCAATTTCCTTTGGAAAGTCCTCCACGAAGGCATCCCTCCCCTTAGGCAGATAGCCCTTGAGGCTTTTCCATAATCACACACACATGTAGATCCTGTTACAACTCCAGAATTAGAATCTCTTTTCAACATAATCAAAAGTTCAAAGTTTAATTTTGGTTGAGATAGCTGTAGTAATACAGAGGCTGTTTGCTTATTTTTTAAACGATTTTGCTTTGCTATCTAGAACTTCCGTCTGGAATTTTTTTTTAACTGCAAGTATATTTTTGAAGAGATAAATTTTCTTCTACTACTTGCCAGTTTTGTTTTCATGCAAAATGTCGCTTTTAAAGAAGCAATAGATGGAAGGCTATTTAGTTATTATTAGTATTATTAGTCATTACTAGTATTAAAAAACATTGTGAAATCAATAGTTTTTCGATATCTAAAGCTACGATAGGTAATGTTGTCAACAACAAAGGGAAAAACATCGAAATTTACCGTCAAGTTGAAAAATTATTTCAAATACGTATCCAAGAAAAAAACGGAATATTTCGGATGTTGCAAAAGCAACATCTTTAAAGTTAGAAGAAAATCCACCAAGTCAAAGGACAGTTTCTTAAAATACTCAGTGTAAACCACAAGCAAAGTGAGTAATGCTGATTTGAATCTTAAAAAGCCCTCTCCCCCCGAAAAAAAAAAGAGATGCATCGTCTTTCTCCACGACATATCGTTCATGTGCTGCAGAATTCTTTATAAGAAACATTTACCTGAAAAAAAAATGGAAAAGTGTTGTCACAATAGACAGATCTTGGATGCACTTAAATGACTGCAATAAAAAGATATCTATTTATTATCATCCAAGAGGATTAAAAAAAAAAAAAAATCTTAAAGCATGGTTCAAGGAATCTAAAGAAAGGTTTTCTAAGGAATTTATGATTGTTGCTAATTTTTCACATAACAGCAAATTAAAAATAAAGAGAGTGGAGAAAAATGTTAAGATCATTTCTGCATATTATCAAAAACATTTATAGCCAATTTTCACACATCAAATACTTGTCTTTACACACAGAGTGATCAAACAGTAGAATTGCATCAAGGCAAAGCAGGCAGCGACATGTCAAAATCTACTGTTATTTTCCTGGAAAAAATGGAACAATAAACAGATGTAAAGTCATACCTTTAACTCATATCACTACTGAATCTCTTGATCCATCACCAATGTATTTTTGTGCTTCTGGACTGTTAAAAAGCAGATTGTTCAAACATCAGCTTATAACCTCCTTGGACTTTTTTGGAAAGCTGTTCTAGAGCAATAGGATAAAATACTTCTTCCAATACACTACAAAAGGCTTTATTTTTATTGTCTTGGAAATTATGGTGTATAAAGATAGTAAAGAATAAGCGTTATCACATAGGACATTTAAAACATAAAAATTTTAAGTAAAATATTTCTATAATTATAATGAAAATCATTTAAAAAATGTGTGATCAGCCTCTGTAATTGCATGCAAAAAAAAAAAAAAAAAAGCTAGATCAATTTAAAAAGTTTAGGAAGAATGCAATTTGCCATGTTAACTGAACTTAAGTTCTTTGGAATCCAATTTCTCTGTCTTGCTGCTTTACCCCTCCTCCCCCCCCAAAAAAACCCTAGTATGAGCAACTGACCAGTCCAAACAAATATATCCTGGGGCTTATTGTTTAGGTCAGACACAAAAATCTCTCCCCATAATTATTCAAGGCACAAAAGTGGGGCCACAACTAACCTCAATGCATGGAGGAATAACACTTGTCTGCACAATGGCTTTCAATAGATTTGATTTTCTTGTTAGTTTGATATCTACTGACTATGCTCGAAAAGGATGTGAAACTGTAGAAATTAAAAACTGAACATTGACACTAAATCAATTAAGGCTGAATAATGGATTGAGAAAAATATTCTGTGAAGCATTAGCCATAGGAAATTCTAAGCATTATCAAGAAATAGACATTGTTATGAATCATTTCATGTCTAGGTAATAATAATATAAATAGGAAAGAAAAAATTCAATAGCAAAGGTACAAAATAAAAGGTGTTTGGAATTACATTTATTACTTAGACTTAAATACACTTCTTAGGCACCATTTCTAACTGTAATGTGCATTCAAAATATAGCAATAAAAATTCATGAAAAAACCATCAGATTCTCTGTTATTATGCAGTAAATTATCTGGTAGTACTGTTGCCATCTATACCAAGTAAAATCAACTAATTTGCAAGTTTAAATCTTTCATAATGCTAAAAAACATTTGATTATTCAGAATAGCGAGTCCACTTCGTCTATGTGCATTGCGGCAAATTTTCTGAGTGATACTCATCTGTTACCATTTAGGCAGAAATTTGTAATGCACGTTACATTTATTTGTACTCACTACAGTGGATAACTAGAATATGCAATGAACTCATTGATGAACACCAAAAGGGTTATGGATAGCCATATTTTTTTTATTCACTACATTATATTGTGTAATGCATAGCGATAAATTTGGTGGCAACATACATTCATTTCAAAAGTGAATTAAATTGGATTAAAAAAATGAGGATCGATATTAAAAGTGCCTTTGGTGCTAAAAATTGCTGGTGTTGCAGGTATTGGACATCTGGATTTTGGACTTTATACTATGATATATGTATTGTAGGAATTGCTGTGCTGTAGAGTTTTTTGGAATGGAAAATCCATTAGAGAGTTATTATTGCCTGTTTATTAAAACAATGGAAGTGAATAATTATATCTGATTGGCAGCACAGACTTTCCTATTTTTCAACAAAATGGCATTGATGTTTTCTTTTAGTGCCTAAAATTGTCCACTTCGAAGTTTTTATGCATTAAATATTTCAGCTTCTAAATTTATGCACTGTAGTTTTTCATATTCTCGTAATTTAAAGTTTGTTACTCATTTTAGTCTCAGCTGTCAAAAAAAACTTTTAAAACTGGGTACATTAGAGTAGTTCATTGGTGTTGAGCAGCTATTTAGAAAAACAACTAGGTGTTTCAATACTGATTATGGGCAGAATACTTTGAAAAATGCATAAAATGAATCTTGGTGGGTATAGCATAAAACTACTGCTATGTGTCAGTCAGTCAAATTAGGACTTTATAAATTATGCATTCTTCCTCAGTGCATGTTTGGAATTATCACATCTTCCAACGATTTTTAAGCTTTTAAATTGTTTGGTTTCTGCTTATCCTTTGTAGCCTCAGGCATCCCCACTCGATTGAGGTCAACTAGTGCTATTGATTTGTCCGCTGTTAGGCGTGCCAAAGCTCGAGCTGCATATTCTACTGTTGCAAACCTTACTAGAGGTTCTGGGGCTTCTCTTCGTAAGTTTTATTGTTGTTATGTTTCATGTTTGGTTATGGAATTATTATTTTAGCTTTTAATTTGAGCATGATGCATATAAAAGCATGCAATGTTTTTTTATGTCTGATTTTTTTTTTTCTTTTTTTTATTTGCAAATCAAGTTTGTGGTGAGTATAAATGAAAAATTAGTACAAATTTATATTTTCCCTCTTTATTTCTTAAGGATTTCGATCTTCAGGCATGGTATGCTTAAGAGTTTAATTGAATTGCTTCAAAAATAATGTGGAATAATTTCCTATATATTTATTATTATATATGCATATATATATATATAATATATATAGATTTTAAACAAATTTTAAAAAAAATTAAATTTTTTAAAAATTTGCTTAAATTTAAATTTTATTCCTTGCAGCAATGGTGCAAAGAATTATTTAATTAATTTTGTTTTTAAATTTAAATTAAATTTATTTAATTAAATTCAATTTCTTCTTATATATATGCATGTGTACTATTTGTGGACTAGTTGTAAGTGTTGATTATTTGTATCTAATAGTAGCTTTGGTAACTTAATTGCTAATGCAAGTTATATGTAACAAATATGTGTGAAGGGGAATTTTTTCTACATTTTCAAAAATAAATATTCAAAATGAAGGGAAATGTACTGTGTAAATACTTAACTTTAATCTAATATGTATCTTTAATATAATTTTGTAAATTTTAGGATATTAAATAATTTTTATATCAAACATTTTTTTTAATTAATAAATATGATCTCAGCTACCTAAATATGTGTTATTTTATAAAATTATACCTGAATAGTAATAAGTTGAGGTCTTCATTTTACCCCACATTAAACATTTCAGCTCGAAATCCAGCGAGAAGAAATGAATCATCTGTTCATGCCATTACATCTCCTGAAAGAGTAATAAAATCACGTCCAAGAGGATCATCTCAATCACAGCGTAAGTATTAATTTTCCAGCATGTACCATATTAAAATTTTTCATGTTTGCTTTATGTTTGGTTTCATATCAGAGGGAAGCACGATAATCAGTAATTTATATTAATCATAAGTAGAATAAACATACCTATCGTATCATTTTCTTTAAATACTTATAATTTATTATTAAGCAACTGCTTTATTGTAAGACATAGTAATCTGCCAATACAGATGAAAACCTCTTCCAGCAAATCTAAACTCCTTATCATTTGCTGTCATTGCAAAAGTTAAAAAGAGTGATTAAAGTTGAAATTAAATTTTTTATTCAAGAAAATTTACTAAAAATTAACACAGTAATATTTGTGATGCATTGCCTACTTTTTGTTTAACGGTTTAATTAGTTCTAGTAAGTTATATATATATTTTTAAAAATGCATCGTACTTTGCTTTTGTGTATTATTATGTATTTTTGTGCAAAAATATATGTATATAATTTTGCATTTCTGTTACCCATTTTATTTTATCTTAATCTCATTTTTATCTGTCAGATATTATTGTCTATTAGCTAGGTATTCTATTTTTATGTTCATTTGAAATTGTGAAAACTTGAGTAGGTGACTTTTTACACAAAAGGAAGATAAATGGACAACATTTTTCACATTGGAGAACTTTTCTATACAAAATATTTTTCTCTTTGAAATTTATCTTGCTTGAAAAGGAAATACTAGTTTAATAGCATGTTAAAACTTTTTTTTAATAGTATATAATATCTAAAGGTAAATTTCTTATCAAATCTGATTAATATTGTTTGATAAGAGAGAATTATAAAATATAATTTTTATCCTAAATTGTTTTTCATGAGATGATTATGAGAATTGTGTATAATATTTGAAATGGAATTTTTAAATGTTTCTTGGGGACTTAATTAGAAAAACTTTATGTTACTTTAAACAGCTTTAAACTCTGTGTGAATGTATATTCTTATGTAAATTGGTTCCATAGAGAAAAATATAAATGATTTATTGAACTAAAAAAATGTTTTAAAATTCTGTTTATTATTCAGAATTGTTTAAAAGTTATGTTTAAGTTTATAACTGTATAGAAGTATTTTGAATATGTTCTACAAAAAAGTAAGTTAGGTGAATTTTTTTAAATAAATTTATTTATTTTGTGCTAGACTTTGACAACTATTTTATGTTTCCTATTTTAAAGTGTATTTACAAAACTACAGTTAAGGCTTTGACAGGTTTGATGATTTATCATTCTAAGTGTCCTTTATTCAGGATTCTGTAATTTTTAAAAAGTGTTTTCACAGAAATTGTATTTTATAAAGATTAATAGAGAAGTGTGAAATTGAAATTTTTGTTTTATGTATTTAATTGGAATCAATTGTGACTAAATTATTGATGATGTATCTTTTTTTAGTAATATGCTTAGTACTTGTTAATATATTAGAAGTCCGTTAATGATTTTTAACATAGCTTCTATTTATAATAATTTTACTAACTTTTCCACTTAAAAATATTATATTTTTTTCCTAGTAGATTGAATGGAAATACATCCGTATCTAATAATTTTAGAATGTATGTAAAGATTATATGCCATTAGATAAAATGTCTTTCCTCGAGGGAAAGCAAATTTGATTACTTAAGTAAAAAGTAAAGGCTCCTCAGTATATGAAAATTGTTTCTGTGAAATAAATCCATCCATGACAAATCAGTCAGTACATAAATTTTGATTGTACACACAGCCCCTAAATTGAAATTTATTTTTTACTACTTCTTAGTTCAGAATTATTTTTTAATGAAATTTAATAAGTTGATGAACTGTGCTTTTAAACTAGAAGTTTAGTGTGGAATTAGTATAAGCTCTTTATAAAAAATAATTTTTATATCAATAAATATGGTACTTTTACATTATCAGGACTAGATTCAGAAATGTATGTATTCATGTTATATGTGTGTATATGCATATATGTATGTTTTTATAAACACGTAACGCATTCATCCACCCATGCATACATGCGTATATACAGTTCTGAATCTGGTCCTGATAATGGAAGAGTAGTTTAAATCTTTTACAGTTAACTTTACTGTCAATTGCTCATATCAATACCAAGAAAGAGGGGAATGACTTAAATTTTTCAGAAAGGTTTTTTACACTAAAAAGATTTGCTACTTTCTGATTATCTACACCTCTAGTTTCAACAATCATTAGAATTGCCATGTTTTGGGCATATTTTTGAGTATACAAGCAATTAAAGCTAATGTATATATGCATGTGGTGTAATATGTTTATAGGGATTTTCATGCTGTATATTTAACCTCTGTTTCAATGAATGGTATCCACTGGCTGTGAGAATGTAAATATAAGCTGTATAGATATTTTCCAAACATAAAATTTCTTGTTTCTTTTAAAATTCTTTAAAAATAATGATAATAAATGTTATTATTTTATGAATAGAACAGTACCTATGAGCCCTAAAATTCACAGATTGAATTTTCCACCAATTCATAAAATTGCCAATCAGTGGGCAACTCTTCATGGGGTTTGTGATTAATTAGAAAGTACTAAATAGTTTTAGCGTTGTTAATATTTGATAAAAGAAAATTGAAATTGTAGCTTTAGATTTTATGAGCATAAAGCATAGAAAAACACTTTGCAGAAGTAGGTTACTGATAATTAGAGAAACTGTATTTCCACAGCTAACAGTTTGAACAAAATTACCAACGTAAAAGTCATTTGCATATACCCCTTCCTCTGTAACTATGTTTTAATATTAAACCTGATAACACTATAAATCTAACATAATGTAAATATCCTATGCCCATCCTTACCCATCACTAATTGTGACTTTCAGCAAGCAGTAGGCCTGATTCTCCTTCATCAAGATTAAGCTATGCAACATATTCCACTACGGATGGCAAAGGTAGAACACGTAATAAATCTGGAATACCCATAGCAACTAGTAGAGAAGCAAGTCCAACAAGGAGTGGCTATGGTAGTAATTTTTTCACAATTTTAAGATTTTTGGAACTAAATTTCAGTTTTATCACTAATTAATTTGTAGTGGGAGTTTTATTAAAATTATATGAGAAGAAACCTTGCCTTAAAAAAAAATTGTGTGGTTTGTATCTGAAAGAAGAATTTTTACTGAGTTATAGCCTGTCCAGAGCAGTGTGACTCTGAGAATTAATTTTAAATAACTGTTGTTATATAAATGGGCATGCATTACTTGCAACTGTCATTTATATTGAATTGTATCTAAAAATTGTCTTATATGTATTAATTACATGTATTCATTTTTTCAATCCTCTTTTATTTCCATTTATAGATCTGTGTCTTCCTTATATACTTCTTTAAAAATATAATAATAATGTTTCAAGTTTATCTATATATGATTTTGTGTGTAGTTAAAATTTGATATGAAGTTAATATTAAATAATTAAGAATCTTTAAGGTTTCATAATATTCTGAAATTTGCCATGATTGAAATACTTTTTTAAAACTTAATATATTTTTTTTTACTTTAATTATGTACACTTCCAAATTTTTTATTTTATTATTTTTTATTTTTATAATATTTATTTATCTTTGAATGGTTTTGGGGAAAAATTCATTTTAATATAAATTCTGCATAAAAACATACTGCATCAGATTATGTTGGTGAAATTTAATTTTATTAAAATTTCACTTATAAGATTGTTATATTATATGATTACTTACTCTGCATGTTACACTGACATAAATTGAAAAATGAATGTATAACATTTTGCATTAAATATATCAGTGTTTCTTTTAATTGGTTTAATGTAATTCAGAGTAATCTTTCATTAATCTAGTTAAAACATTTCTTCTTTGTTATCATCTCAGAGATTATATATAGTGGAGAAATTCTATGAATAGCATTCTGATGAACCTACTGTTTTGTTTGCAACTATTGACAAACATGAGAAGATGCAGCATTCACCAACTTTGTTGAATCTTGAGTGCTCCATGTGCCTCTAAAATCAGTTTTTGTTATATCAGTTTTTAGTTACAGTGGAGAAATTCTATGAGCAGCATTCTGATGGAACCTACTGTTTTGTTTGCAACTATTAACAAACATGAGAATATGCAGCATTAACCAACATTGTTGAATTTTGAATGCTCCATGTGCCTCGAAAGAAAGATATTAACAATACTTGTATGTTTGCATCAGTTTTTAGTGTGCGTATAGAGAAGTATTCAACGAATATAATAAGGAATGCCCATTTGTCGGCATAAAACATGTTTGCTAACTGATATGTTTTCGCATTTGCGAGCCGTATGATTTTCTAAAATGCTTGGCTTTTAGTAGCATTAGCTATTAATTCTATAAATTTAAAATGAGGATTGAGATTTATATCTTAACTCATGTACCATTTTTGATTGCAAAAGTTGTGTTAAATTGGATATGTGAGTAAGCAACATTGCTTTTGTAGCATCATTTTGTTTACTTTCATTAGCTAAATTTATTACAAGCAATACATTTTATTAGTCCTTTCCCTCATCAAAAATGAATTATTTTTGTTCACTTTTAAATGTTAATTTGCTTGATCTCGTTATAATTAAAATAGCTTTTGCTGTGTTTTAATTGGTTTTAATTTAAGCCTTTTGGTTCATTTAATCAGTGTCAGTTTCAAGTCTTTTATCTTAGATTGAAGTAGGATACTACCTGCAGACTGATTTTGAAATGTTATTTATCTCATAAGTTAATCCTTTCCATAAAATATATGCAATTTTTAAATCCTAATCTTATTGTAAAAATGTTTTTTGACTTCTACTTTTTCTTAAGAGGTAAATTACATATATAGTTCTGCCATTATTAGTAAAATTTAATTTGATAGTAGCTTTTTATTTCTTAAGACTCTAAATATGCATGAATTTGCCCTTTTTTTTAGAAAAAAAAAATAAAAAATAAGATTTGCAAAAATGCTTAGTTGTGCTGCTATGCATGTGTATTGTAAACTGAATTTTATTGTAGCTCATGAGCGAAGGTTAAGTGGCTCTCGAATGAAATTAATTGGTGCTGGGGAGAAGTATCCTTCTTTACCTTGTAAGTCTTTTGTGTTTTGTTACTTGTAATGTTTTGCTAAATTGTATTAAAAAATACATGCTGTGTGCTTTTCTTCAAAAAAAATAGTGAAAGTTGTAAAATAGAATGTGCTTGTTTCCTTTTTGTTTTCTTAAGACTAGCAAATGTTTTATGTCATAATTACAGAGGCTGTTCGCACATTTTTTAGATGATTGCTTTGCCATAAAAATAAATTCTTCTGCTTGGAAATTTTTTTTTTTTTTTTTTTTTTTAACTGCAGCTGTGTTTTTTAAAATATTAGTTATCATATGCTACTCAACAGTTTTGTTTACATGCCAAATGGCAGTTTTAAAGAAGCAATGGATGGAAGGCTATGTCTGTCCTCTTTCCAAAGAAAATGATTCATATATAGTTACTACAATACACCATGAAAGCCATGGTTCTTCGATTTCTAAAGATACCATAGGTAATACTGTCAAGAAGAAGGGATAACAAAAAACATCAAAGTTTGGCTTCAAGTGGAAATATTGTTCCAGATACATATCCAAGTAATGTTTCAAATATTGCAAAGATCTTTAATGTTAAAAGAAGTTTCGCCAAGTCAAAGGACAGTAGCAAAATCATTAACATGCTCACTGTCATCTGTTAACAGAGTGATTAATGGTCATTTAAATCTTAAAAGGGTGAGAAAACATACGTGCGTTGTCTTTCTCTACAACCATGGACCCAAAACGTGCTGCAGAATTCATTACGAGAAATATTTATCTGGGCAAAAATGGAAAAATGTTGTCATAATAGATAAATTGGGGTATATTTGAATGATTCCAATAAAAAGAGATCCATTATTTTCATCAAAAGAGGAGAAAAAACTTAAAACATGGTTCAAAGAATCTAAGTTTTCAAAGGGATTTATGAGTGTTGCTTGTTTTTCATGTTAAGGCAAATTAAAAATAAAGAGAGTGAAGAAAAATGTTCAGGTCAATTCCACATGTTATCAGGAGCGTATCTGATACCCAGTTTTGAAATACAAAATATTTTCTCTTTAGCCACAATGCCATCAATAAGTAGAACTACTTCAAAACAAAGTAAGTGTCAAAATCCACTCTTAATTTCCTGGAAAAAATGGAGCAAGAAAAAGGTATCAAGCCCTTACCCTTCACTCATATCCCTACTAAATATTCTGATGTATCACCCATAGATTTTTTACTTTTGGACTTTTAAAAAACAGATTCTCCAAACGTCTACCTACAACCCTTTTTGGGCTTTAGAAAGATGTTCAAGAGGGATGTGATAAAATATCTCTCCCAACACTACAAAAGGCTCGAGTGTTTTTGAAATTATTATATAGAAAAGGTAGTCAAGAATAAAGGTTATCAAACAGAACGTTAAAAACATAAAAATTTTAGGTAAAATGTTTCTGTAAATACAAGGCAAATTGTCTAAAAAATGTGCGAACAACCTATGTATTTTTGACTTTCATATGCTTTAAAAACAGTAGTTATCAAAAAATATATTTTCTTGAGTTTATTCAGAATTGCAAGATTATACATCCTTTATAAAGAGTAGAATTTAAGAATACTTATGCTACTTTGGAAATGCTAAATCATATCAATTGTTGTATTTATTATTATTTGGTAACAACATTAATGGATACTAATTCAGAAGTCAAACAACAAAAATCAGCATTATATTTTCAAATTTTCACAGGACTAGTGTCAATGGTATTACCGAACCACCATCATCAGCTGCAAAAGTGCAAATGAACAAGATAATATATAATCATCAGATAGATAAGAAAATAGGATATAATTATCAGATAAGATAAAAAAGCCTGGACAGAAAATAAGCTAGTGGCACCATCTGTTGATGAAACCAGAACTAAAACATAATTTCTTTAAAGGCCGAAGGCAAAGATGGATTGGAATTAGGGTCGTTAACTAGAACAGAAAGATTTTTTGAATGTGAAATGCCTCTAGAAAATCCAGTTCTCCAATGGAAGATGTTTTTTGAATAATTTTGGCAGCAAAAAAATTGAAAGTGTGATTTTTCAGACCAACAATGTTGGGCAACAGAAGACTTCTGTGTTTCCTTTTTTCTAATATATGCCTCATGTTCCTTGATGCAAAATTTTAAGGCTCTCTTAGTTTGGCCAATGTAAATTAAACCTATAAATCCAAGGAATCCTATAAATACCCCAGGAATTCATATCCGGAATGGGGTCCTTGAGTATGGAACTCGGAATTTTATTGATGGGAGAATAAACGACCTGAAAGTTAAATTTCTACAAAATATGTGCAACTTTATAGCTAATTGATGGAAAGAAGGGAATGACAACAGAATTTTTATAATCTCCTAAAACAAGAGTGTCCCTTTTAGTGTGTTGAGATGAGAATTTTTTAATTGCTTGATTAATAATGTTAGGTGAAAAAAAGCCCCTGTCCCCAGCTATTGCTTTTAAATAATTTTAGTTCTTCATCATCAAGGGATAGTTTGGAGGAGCAAACTTGAAGAGCACAGAAAACATAGGAATAAAATGAAGCTAACTTTAGTTGGATGACATGATTTAAAGTGTGGTGGAAGGCAGACGATGAAGGTTTATGGTAAACCGTAGTACTGAGGTTGGATGTGTTACGTGTGACCAGAATGTCAAGAAACGGAAGAGAATTGCAAGTCTCAAGTTCAAAAGCAGGGACGTAGCTAGAGGGGGGCAAGGGGGCATCTGTCCCCGGGCGCAGAATCCAAGGGGCGCCAAACTGATGTTACGACATTTTAGAATTAAATGTTTTCCATCCTTGGCAAGCAGTAGGGGGTGCGAAATCTTCAGTTGTCCCTGGGTGCTGAAAACCCTAGCTACGACTCTGTTCAAAAGTGAACTGAATAGCAGGATCAGTAGAATTCATTATTGAAAGAACTTTATTTAAATCATCTTTATTACCTTCAAACAGGGTAAAAGTATCGTCTACGTAGCAGAATCATACCGGGAAGTTTAAAGTTTCAAACAATTTTGATTCATAATAATGCATGTAGATATCAGCCAGGATGAGGGGGTTTCCCATGGCTAATCCTTCAGCCCCCTAATTCCCTCCCTAATCCTAATGCTGATTTTTGTTGTTTGACTTCTGAATTAGTATTTGTTTGGCATGTTATTGTGTCTTAACATTAATGGATGTAAAATTATGTTTTGCTGAAGGTATATATATATGACTTTAAACTGCATTAAATATTCAAAGAGAATGTACAGTCAAACCTTGCTTAAGAAGCACCTCCCATAACGGGTGATTCACATAACAGACAAAATGCAAAAAGATTCTGTTAATGAGCGATGTTCCACAGAACAAGTGACGTGGAGACATCATGTCGTCATATGCAGAATCCTGTCTGCAGCTCCGCCTTCAGTCTGTGTTTAACGCTCTTTCAGCTAGCATCTTACTGTCGCTTCTGAAAATTGTATTCAGACACATTATTGGGTATTTTTTTAGTACAAAGTTTAAACATGCTTACATATTTGTCCTCAAAGAATATGCCACGAGAAGACAGGAGAAAGAGATGAAGAATTACTGCAGAAGTCAAATTCCAAATCATTAAAGAATGAAGAAGCTGTGTGTGCCACAAATTTATTTAATGATAATACTGTGTTTCATTTTCACCAAATTTTGAAGTGTAGGCAAAAACCAATAATTTTAGATAGAAAAGAAGGGAAAAGGGATGTATTTATTCTATTTCACATTGATCCATATGGAAAAAATGATTTCGTTATGAGTGTTTTGTTTTACAAGTAAGTTTCATACACATTATGCTTGTTAAGTGAGGTTTCACTCTATGTAATATATTTAGAACTTAAAAATATTTATCGCTATTTATGGGAGCTGCATAATTTTAATTTTTCTTACCTAAGGAAAATCTTGAGACACCTAATCTATTATCAGTATATAAAGAATTGCTTTTGTGTAATTCTGAAAAAGGCTAATGGTTGAGGTGTATTTTGTCTTAATGTCCAAATGTGAATAAAATTGGATGGTTCTTATTTTTGAAAGTTTTGCTACTTGATTTTTTGTTTGTTTGTTTTATTATTTATATGATGTTGCTCTGCCCTTCTTGTACTTTTTCATCATCTTTGTTAAATGATAGTTGGAAGTAGTTGAATTTTTTATGAATTCATAGTAAGTTAGTAAGATTTTTTTATCAGCATTAAGTATTTAAATTTAACAGGCATCTCGAAGATTTTTATAAGATGGTGTGCATTTTTAACTCTCTCAATGATGCTATTCATATGTTAAATATGTGCCAATGAGCCTTTTATTTATTTTGGGGGGATTCTGGGTTGAATGTTCCTTCATATATTGAATGGTTGTCCATGAATGTGTATCCTGGTTAATAGTATGTAGTAAAGGATTTTTCAAAACTTATGTTCACAGAGTTGACTATGAGTAAATAATAATTATCTGGATCTTAAATCTGTATTTTCATTAATTGTGAAATTGAAACTTGCAGATCTGTAATTAGAGCTGTTTTATATTAAGTTCGGTGTTGCTAAGAAAAACTTCAAATTTCTTAAAGATTAAAAAAAAAAAAAATATTCAGCATTCCTGATCTCTGTAATTCTAAATAACCCTTGAAATCAATATTTATGGAGTTACTATTGAATATTGATTCCGAATATTTCATTCATAGCCACTGCAGTTCCCTTAATGGCTGAGAGAACTCTTCAGCAAAGCAGAGAAGCAGAGGTTGCAGTGGCAGATGCATTGGTAAAGTATATTTTTAACTTCTAGAAACCACAATTACTGTGAGCAGTATCCTGCTGTTTGAATTTTAATACTATTATTCTGTTCATGTTTTAGAGAGCACCCACGCGAAGGCGATACAATGCATTTGATGATCAATCTGATGAAAGCGAAACTTCCAGTGTGTGTTCTGATAGGTCTTTTAGTTCATTTGGTAGAAGTGTGGATGTAAGTGTTATTTTAATTTATCAATAGTATTGAAAATGCGTAGAGCTTTAAGGTACTTGCCGGTTAAAAAGGGAGAAAAATGATTATTTATAAAGAATTATTTAATACTATTTTAAAGAGTAGTAGCAATTAAATTTGCATTGAAATAGGGAGTTGGACGTCATTCATTTGCTATCACCATAATTTCCGGAAGAAAGGCCGCATCAGCGTAAATGGCGCACTCGAGAAAAATGGCGAGGAAAAAAATTTAAATTACACAGAAACGCCGCAAAAGATTAAATTGCGCATGACATCGTCGTGGGCTGTATAGTTGCAAAATCTCAACCTATGTCCTGATATATCAGTTAAGAAAAATGCATGAAATGAAACCATAACTCAAAAATAAATTAAAGGTAAGAAATGTTGAAAATATATTTACGTTTACGAATATACTTATATTTACACACTAAAGAAGTCCACATTTGTAATACTCAGACTATATTATAAAAAATGCTGCAACAATGAAATATTAAATTTGGATGATAAAAGGAAATTTTAAATTTTACTTGCAAAAGGAATTACAGCAAACTATACATCATATGAAGCCATGAAAATCTGATTCTTCACTATCTGAATTAAAAAGATTTAGTAAATCCTGATCTAAGTCTTCCAAGTCTTCATCACATTCATCCTATTGGTTTACAATCTCTTTACCTGAGGATATAATTTCTGCTTCTTTGAATGCTGCTATTACTGACGATGTTTTCCCTGATTTCCATGTTCATTTATTCAAATTAATACTTTGAACCCTGCTTTTTACACTTGACAATGTTTTTACCACACATTTTTTTACCTTTACACACTTTCCTACCCACTTTGCAACTTTTTCATAAAATGCTGTACGCATTTTACTGCTTTTGGTTTAAGTATGCAATCCTTCACTCATCCAACACTCCCACCGCTTTCGGACTTCAGCTTTGAAAGATTTATTACCTGACAAATTTAATGGTTGTAAGATTTTTGTCAAACCACCAGGAATTATTGCTACGGTCATAGACAATTTTTGACATCTGGTTTTCACTGACTCAAGTAAATGAGCATGCATCGAATCCATTGTCAATAACTCTTTTGGTTGGAAAAAAAGATCCCTTACGACACTGGCAAACTTTTTTGTAGCCACTCATGCATGATTGTTTCGCACATCCAGCCGTTCTCGTTTGCACAAATAATTACGTCATTAGGAAAATCTCCCTTCGGAATAGTTTTTCATTTAAAAATGATCATCGGCTTTAGCTTGTTACCGTTTGCGGCACAAGCTAACACACATGTAAATGACGTTCTTTCATGCCCCGTTGTAAGCACAGATACAGTTTTTGCACCAGTTTCACAAGCAGTTCTGTTTGCAGGAGAGTCGAAAGCTAATGGCGTTTTATCCATATTTATTATCTGTGACCGAAGTTTTTTTTGTTGTTTGTTTGTTTGTTTGTTAAAAATATCTGTCACATATTTTAGAAAAGATGCCTTTTTATCCTGCCAGTCCATTGGTAATTGTTGCCCGACTGTTGTTCTAGTACGCTTAGAAATATTTTTTCTTTTCATAAATCTGCTACACCAGCAAGGCCCTCCTTTGAAATCATTTATATCATTTATGTTCATTTGTTTTGCTATAAATTTTGCTTGTAAGCAAATTTTTACAGTCGAAATTGCCATTCCCCTTCCTTGTTGCTCCTTTATCCAGTTTGCAAGGTCGTCCTCTAGATTCGACCACCTTACAGTACCACTTCTTTTGGCTCGTTTCTGTTGTGGCATATTTTTAAGTTCTTTTTCAGTTCTACAACGTTGAACTCGTCCACTTCAAACTCTCGAGCTGCTGCTCTATTTCGACTTTGTTCAGCAGGTGAAATTACATTAAGCTTAAAACCAGCAGTATAGCTTCTGTGCCGTTTAGGTGCCATTTTCAAAAATTTTCCCGCTCCCTTCTTACTTAAAAACTATCCAACATATACTTGTACTCAAACTGATGGGTTCTGTATCTGACAGAATGCCAAGAAAAATCAATTCATGCTGAAGATGAAGTATGTCAGAGTTCATTATTGTGAGGCAGGTGGAGTCATGGCAGAGGAGAGAGATATTCAAAATGATGAGAATGCCGATTTGAAAAGGGGAAGAATATTATTGTTCTGAGATCCGGTTTAGAGTGAATAAGGCATTTTCAAGGGAAAAAATGTAAACAAAATAACGTTCGCAAAAAGCAACTGTGTGGTCTTTTGTGTGGGAACAGCACCAGTCTGTGTACAATGACAAGGTCATCCCAACTATGTACAATGACCATCATAGGAAATATTTTATTTTTAGTGCACCTAAACGCTGCATGGGTAGAAATGCCGCACCCGCTGAAAATTTAAGTTTTAAATACGTAAACGACGCGGTGTTTCTTCCAGAAATTATGGTACATTGTTAATATTAATTTAGCTATTCTTAATAGGGTTTGTATAGTCCTTCGGAGTGTTTTAAAAGTCCTTAAATTTTTTGAAATTGATTTTTGGTCTTTTAAAAGTCCTTAATTTTTGCCAAAATCGGTAGAAAGTCCTTAATTTTAATCATCTGAAATTTCTCTTTGTTTTTACAACTGCCATTTTGAGTGTGAATTAGCATTTTGGAAGAATATTTTTGGCGAGCAATGTTCTCGCTAGTTTCTGTGTGCTTTCACTGATGTATATGGTTATCTTTTGAATGGGCTCATGGGTAATAATTTGTTTCTATTTCTAATATAAATGATGGGATACTTGAATTTCTAAGCAAGAAGTGAAACATAAGCATTTCAAAATTAATTTTTCTAATAAAGAGCTTTTAAACAACTTTTCGCTTTTGGGGATGAATTCTTTTATTAAATGGTTTTAAATTTGACGACTTGTGAACATTTTTACGATTTTTAGATCAGTTTCTATAGAAAATTTTTATTTCCGAGATCTGAGAATTTTTCGGCAATAACATTGATAAATTTCATTAAAATAATGGTAATATAATTGAATTATATTTAAAAAATAACATTAAAATAAAACATTTTTATTTTTCGCTGTCATATTATAAAGTTTCATTTTGGCAACTTATTATACAGCAAAACAGCTATTAGTAAAAGCAAAATTAGCTATGTATTTAATTAAAAATGTCTTCTTTTTAATCTTTTCATAGTAAGCGTTTTTCCCATGTAAGTGTCTCAGATTATTCGAAATTCTCAGAATATGCATCATTTTTCTCTATAAAATTAATTTTACACTTTTTCCTTCCTTTTTTTTTCCAAAATATTTCTGGCTTTTTGCTGTTACAGAATTGGTTGGGATAATTTTTTTTAGTATTTTTGACATTGCAACATGGAAAATTTAGAAGGATTTGAAGGCAAGATTTACAGACCCACGATTTTAGAAGATTTGAGAAATATGTGACAAAATGAAAAATGTCTCCATGGTATCAACTTGTAATGGATGTATTTTACAGAAAGTTTGTAATGAATTTACTTTTTGGAGAACGTCTGGAAGAACAATGGAAACATAATATTTGAATGTTTTACTCCTGATACTAGAATCTTTTTTCTTAATATGTTTATCTTTCCTTTATTTTCTCTACTTTTCATTAGACACAAGCATGCAAAATATCAAATATGCTTCTAATCTTATCACTTGGGCAGGCATTATACATAGAAAGAGTTTTTTTATTAATAAAGAATTGAAAACTTACAATTTAAAAATATTTATCTAATATGTCTAAATGCATCGTACATAGAGCTGGTGCTAGGCATTTTCCACCTGATGCAATCTCTGTGGATCCTAAATTCTGCTGCCTAATGCCTTTCTAAATTCTACTTCCAATGCCTGCTCTAAATTCTAAAAGTTTTGCCGTTTCTAGATTTTGTTGTTCTGTGTGTCACTAAATTCTAAAATTTCTGCCACACCATCTCTGTAACCGGTGCCTTTACCATATGTATTTTATATTTCTTCTGAATGTTTATATTATTAAAGAAATAAAATTAGCCACTTTTTATATACATTCTAAATGCATTTAGTGTTTTTTAGAATAACAGAAATCCTTAATTAAATCCAAAAATTCTAAAATTAAAAGGAAACATATTGAAGAAAGAAACATTATACATAAAGAAAATTATTCTTCAAAGATATGTGCAGTTATTATTATGTAAATTACCCAAATGTTTATGATTTCAGCCTTTACTATAACTTCCCATTTCTGTTTCCTGATATGGTAGAGTTACTGAGCCAGATTAAATTCAAATTAAATTGTATAATCTTTGACCACAAATTGACTTAAAATTAAATTGTATAATCCACAATTTTAGTTTGAATTTGACTGTTCTTGTTTAATTATGTCACCATGAGCTGTAATTGACTTTGTTAGCATCAGGACATGCCTTTGTGTTCTAAGTTCTTTTAAGTAAGAGGCTTATTTAAACCTTTGTCTGATATTGTAGTTACTTTCAGACACAGTGATAATTTGCTTCACGTCTATTGGGGGGTTTGGGACTATTTAACTTTTACCAGATCAAGTAAACCCTCATAGGTACATTGTGGAGAGGTTGACAAGTTAGAAACTAGCGAGAACATTGGTTTGTATATAGAAACAAATTTCTAATTATTGTTTGAAAAGATACTTATGAGAAGGAAATCGATATAAATTAGCCAAAATGGTTGAGAAGGCTTGTAGAGACATTAGGTATTTTTGAAAGGAGGAAAGATAAAAAATTAACAACGCCTTTGCTGGGAATCAAACTGCGAACCTCTGGAATACCGATCCAGTTTGCAAACCACTATACCACGAAGGCTCGCCAAGAAGGTGGGAGAAATACCTTACATGCTCCCCCTTTTAAAGGGCGACTGGGATTTTTAGGGGACCCAGTCGCCAAATCCTGGGTGTGGAGAACCATCATCCAACAACCTTATAGTTTGGGCGCCACTGTAGAGACATTAGGCAGTTTTGAAAGCAGGAAAGATGAACAATTAACAACGCCTTCA